CTTCATCACCAGAGGCTCTTGCTCATATGTTGTTTCATGAAATTATTCTGTGTTGCAACAATGAGAGAGTTAAAATATACTGAAAAAAATTCCATTCTCAAATGGTATTAAATATTAAGTAGAAAGATAAAAACTTCTTGAACATATAAATGGGAAACAAAATTCAATCCATAACAGATTTCCTGATTAATCTAATATTCCTTTTCAAGTTTTAGTGCTACCATCCCCATCTATACCTTGAAAATACTGTGTCTCAAAAGCAGTTTTTCTGTGTTTGAATCTCTTTTGAATCCTGGTTTATTCCAGAAAAGATAGCAAGACATTTTTCCCCCAAAAAAACCAAACACCTACTGTGAATCAGAACAACAAATGATTAACTGGCATTTGGAATAAGTGTGATAGTATAATGGAATAATTATAGGTTTTATCTTCATGAAGGCATAAATATGGTCTTTGTATCTTGATTTATATAATATTATTTGAAAAAAATGGAGAAAATTTCTTATGATAATGTTGAACTAGTTAATTTAAAAATGCATGTAACATATATAACAGTGATATAGAAATGGTATTCAGCATAAATTAATTATTTCTTTCTCACCACTCTCTTTAAAATTATATTCAGACTCCAGGTTTCTGTGAATAATTGAAATAATTGTCCGACAGTCAATGAGGATTTTGGAAATACCATAACTACCCCATTCAAGTCAATTATCAGTAAAATTTCTTCTCGCCTGGTGTTAATGTTTACTAGTAATTTAAAATGACTGTTAATCCTAAACCACTGAGAGACATCACGAATTTTACCCATACTTATCAGCTTAGTTCTTCTCTCTATCATATCTTTCTCAAATTTCTCAACAAGTATTCTCAGTTTTGTGGGGAAAGAGATATTATTTCATATTATCCAGACCTGTCCTTTCCTCTAGGTTTTCCATTTTAAGCACCGTTTCCATGCTTACCCTTGTTTAGAACGGTAAGGAGGAAGACATCAGGACAAGATTTTATGCATATCCAGTGAAAATGTATGCTTTGATCACTGGATTTTGTAGTTAGTAGGATTAACCATAACTTTTTCTTCCTTCCCCCGTCCCCTTAGGGATCTCTTTGCATCAGATTACACAGAAACATATTACAATTGCACTGGAAAGGAGGTCACCACCAGCCCTCAGATAATGGTATGTGAATGCCCTATATTCATTCTCTGTTGGGGTGTGACTGACTCATAGACCTCAAGTGATTATTGTCAGGTTTTGACTTTATAGCCCTGATTCTCTTTTCATCAGTAATTTTACACCAATTGGATCAGAACAAAGGCATTCTTTGATAATTGTGTTACCTTCTCCCAGCCTTCAAGGATTCCTTATTTGAATGTGGGCAGAAGATGTTAGTTAGGAAAGTAAAAAGTTAAACTATCTAGGATGGCACAGACAGGGTAAAATTATAATCTGTCATTCGTAAGGTCACTCAGATCCTACTCAGTCAACTTGATGGTGTCTAACAACAGTAACAAGTACTCTTACATCAGTGTCAGTCACCTGTCTGAACTATCTGATTTCTCAAACTCAAGACTATTTCCTGAGTCATAGAATCGTAGCACCCAGTTTTTTCTTTAAACAATTTCTAATTTTGTTTTTTGTTTGTTTAACCTCTCTTTTCTTAGGCTGTGTATGTGTCCAGTATGCAAGTGAAGTAAGAGAGGTTGTTCATCATTGTGTTATTACCATGACGGTGATACAAAGATGTATATGGGTCAATGTCCCTTCTGTCCAAAAGCAGAAAGATGTTTTTGATTAAACAATCATATGAAAAGTGTTGAATGGGATTTCTGCTTCAAATGGAAACAGAGATTGTTCAGTTAAAGTAGTGAATCTAATGGAAATCTTTGGATAAATCAACACATAAAAAGCAAATCTGAATAATCCAAACATTGGTGTGAATATGTAAATTTCTGCTAGAAAAATTTTAATGAGCAATTAAACAATAGGAAGAATGAGTGTCTGATGTTTGAGAACATCAAGGTTTAAATATACACATGTAAGTTTGTTCCTTTCGAACATGCTTTGAAATCTCATCCTTTGTTACTAGTTAGGGATCAGTAATTAAAAACCAAAGTTTTTACCATGAGAAACCTGTAATATTTTTTTTCTCAATTGACTTTTCTTCAAAAGAAAGTTCCTTAAAGGTGTTAACAGACTATATTTCAAGATTTCAAAACGAAACCCAACAATGGGGTTAACACACACACACACACACACACACACACACACACACACACACTCTCTCTCTCTCTCTCTCTCTCTCCCACATGCCTTTACTAATTTCTTTCCCCTTTTATTTAGGATGACTGTTACTACCAAGGGCATATTATTAATGAAAAGGCTTCTGATGCTAGTATCAGCACATGTAGGGGGCTAAGGTAAGTTTTTATGTATATTTTGTATTTACTTGTGATTTTATTTTCGCGTTGCTTTGTTTTGTTTTTTCCTTAAGCCTGAAGTTCATTTTGTTATGGATGAGTATCATCTCAAGGGCTTGAAATTCTTGAATTTTGAAAGACAATACATTTCTCTTGAGTGTTTTTGTTTGTTCTTAAGATGTATGCCTAATTTCAATGTTGGGCTTAAAGTATTTAACAATTTTGAATCCTCTTTTCCATCACTTCTTACTTTCTTCCTAACATATCTCATAAACTTTATGATATCCATTTATTTCTGAAAAGTACAGGTTGTCCATGCCTGTCTCTTCTGATATCCAGACTAAATTCGGGTGACCCAATAGGTAAGGGGATATGCTGCCAACCCAAGGCTTGAATACACCACATGCTCTGATAGAGAAAGTGGACATTTTTCTTCTGTGATATTAAAGCCCCTGAAATCTCACATGGAGGATCACTAACAACTCTACCCTCACTTAACAACAATGAAAAATTAAATTAATTTAATAGGCTTAGTTGGCTGTCTTAAATAAATTTCAGTCCTAATATGCCCCAAATCAAACTAATTTCTCTCAAAACTAGAATTTTACTGGTATTCCCTACCTCAATAATAAATATGTTTTACCAATAACTTGTCCAAGTAATGAGTCTAGATTTTTTGGTGAGTTCTTTTTCTCAATTTCTTAATTTCTATAAATATCAAGACCAATTCCTGGTTTGGGAGTCCTTGAATAGTGCAAATAGTTAAGCACTTTCAAAAAGATTGACTGTTTAAACCCACTTAGAGGCACCTTGGAAGAAAAACCTGGCAATAGGCTTTAAAAATCATAACCTTGAAACTTTATGAAGCAGTTCTGCTGTACACATCTGGCTTGCCATGGGTTAGAATCAACTTGTCAACTACGAGTTTTTTGTTTTAAGAATTATATTTCCTGAGATTTTTTTATTAGATCCTATCTCTATGGCCACATTATATTCCAAGCCACTCTGATCCTTTATGTGGATTATTACTATGAATTACTTAATTCATCTCCCACAATCATTATGCAGTCTACTTGTTACAGGTGCATTTAATTCAGTCTTTTTTATAAAATATTCTTGAAAAAGTCTTTATACTCTTTCTTTGTAGCAACTCCCAGTTAGTAATGATATACTTCTGTGATTATTTAATATACCTCCATCTTGCTTATTTGAACATTTGGTACTTAAAGGGAGAGACCATAATTTTCTTTAGTCCAATGCTTAGTCAATAATGAGTGTTCTTTAATTGATACTTGAATGAATGTTTGCTTAGGGCATCAGAAAAGCACTTGGGAAGTAGTTATTATTTTCATTGTTTATGTGCTTTATGTATTATTTCCTTCAATCCTAACAACTGCATTATTAGGTAGTAATTATTATCCCTGATTTATAGATTAAAAAACTGAGACTGCATAAGTTTCATAACTTTTCCTATTGGGCTCACAGACAGTAGATGATAGACCCATGATTTGAATCCTTATTTACATAACCTCAAAGTTTCTGTCATTTCCAACGAATCATTATAACAGACACAGCAGGGGAACTGTATTAACACTGGACTAAGTATGAAGACATTTTCATTCTTGTGTGGTCACTGACATGCGTTAGCTATATGACACTGCAATTCCACTTCCCCCTCTGAAAGTTCCCATTTCTTCACAGAGAGAATCATTCTAGATCCTATCTACAGGTAACTCTGACTGTAATATTTTACTCTAGTTTACTGCCTATAGTTTATAATCTTGAACTCTTTCAGGGGTTGACCTGAGGTTTCATAAGGTCACTTTTAGGAGTCTATATGTCTATTAAAATAGCTGGTGGGGAGGGGTGGGAAGGGAGAAAATTGTGGCAATGAATGAATGGAAATCCAAAACCTCTGTAAAAAAATAAATAACAAATTAAAAATTATTTAAAAAAATTGAAATCAGAAATCTTTTGTTAAGGAATCTAAATTCTTATGTTTTGCAGAGGTTACTTCAGCCAGGGGGATCAAAGATACTTCATTGAACCTCTAAGCCCCTCCGATCAGGATGAACAAGGGCATGCACTGTTCAAGCATGACCCTGATGAAACAAAGGCTAACAGCTCCTGTGGGATGGAGGATGTGATTTGGGGACATGAATCTCGGAAGTTTGTGGTCCCACCTGCCTCAAGACTAGTTGTATGTATATTTTTCTTTTTCTTTGTAATGCTTTCAAGTACTTTGGCCTAGCTAACCTCAGAAGTTGAAACTAACTGAAACTAAAAAAGTATTTAACTTGTTACTGCATACAGACACTATTCAAACCTTTTTTTATAGAATGATGATTTACTGAATAGATGATAATGGCTCAAGTATAATTGTCAAGTTACAAAGATGTTACATGCCCTCAAGAATCAGGAGACTTTCGCAGTATTTATGTAGCCTACCATGAATTATTGAACAATATCATTAATATCACATGCAAGCAAAATATTGCTAAACTTCATTCAAAACCTGCTAGAATGGTACATAGCCAAGAAATTGCCAGGCATTCAGGCTGGATTTAGAAAAGGCCATGGCACTAGAAATATTGTTGTTAATGTCAGATTGTTCTTGGCTAAAAGCAGAGTACCAGAAAAATATCCTTCCTCAAATCCTGATGCCACATTCTTCTTCATACAGTCCAACTTTTCCAATAATTTGCTCAGCCTGTTGCTCAGTTTCAGATTGAAACTTAACAACTTACAATGACTTCATGTTCTTGAGTCCACAATCAATATATTTGATGTAGGTAGTCAGGAAACATATTGTACTAGGAAAGTCTGTAGTCAGAGACCTCTACAAATTATTGAGAAGCACTGATGTTATTTTGAGGACTAACAAGCACATGATTCAGGCCATGGACTTTTCAGTCATTTGTTATGCATCTGAGAGCTGGAAAATTACTAAGGGTGACAGAAGAAGAATTGATGCCTTTGAACTGTGATGCTAGAGAAGAGTACTGAATATCCCATTGACTGTCAAAGGAAGAAACAGATAAATCTTGAAAAAGCATAGCCAGAGTATTCTTTAGAGGCAAAGATGATAAAGCTTCCTCTCACATATTTTAGAAATGTTATTAGGAGAGGTTATTCCTTGGAGAGAGACATCATACTTGGAAAGGCGGTAAGACAGCAAAGAAGAAAGAGATCCTCACCAAGGTAGATTCCAAGAGTGATTGCAACAATGGACCTGATTATGAGGATGTCACAGGATAGAACAAGCTTCAGATCTATTGTTCAAAGTCCTTATACTTGACTTGATGACACCTAATAACAATAGCCACAAATCAAGGAGATAAAATATAATTTTGAGATAAAATATCCTACTCTCTAGAAATTATTCAACATATTTCTCTTAAAAGCCGACATAGAGACTGGAGTGTAGCAATGAGGATAATAGACAAAGGACAAGCTCACAAGAACTTAGAATGTTCTTTAATGTATAAAGTACTATTTCCAGTCACAGAAGAATAATTAAAAATGTATTCTTATTTTGTATTGTAAACCTTTGTTGTACATATAAAAATATTTTTAACCTAATTACTTTGACTTTCTTCAAGATCTAGTTCAGATCCAATCACCTTTTGTTTATGTTCTTAACATCAGTAAGCACTGGATTGGCATGACCTAACATAAATTTCCAGCATGTTCAGTTTGGTGTGGGTTTAGGTTCTACTAAATTCTGGTGATAACTGAGAACCCAGAAGAACCATTAACTGTAGTCTTTACATGTTTCCATGAATAATCAACTTCTGATTGCCTTTATGTTGACTCAATAGGCTTCTGTTGTAAAAAAAACCTGATTATTATTTGATTTTGCAAACTGTATTGTGCATATAATAATGTTCTTCTGCAACTGTTGCCTTGTTTTCACGACATCATACTATTTTGCTTTCCTTCCTACCATAGTAGTTATGCTCCTTCTCAGTTCTTTTCTTTCACTGATATTTTCACCATAGTGTGAGCTCTTGGTAAAAGACTGTCAGAGAAAAAAAAAGAAGATGGAAGATGTTCAATTATATGAATTGACAAAGAAACTGCAACAGTGTGTTAAAATCGCAATCATTGTGATGAGGACAGAGGACTGTGCAGTGTTTTCTTCTGCTGCACATAGGGTAACTAGGAGTTGGAATAGATTTGAAGGCATATGACAACTACAAGGCACCATTCATCTCAGAACAACCCTGGCTATAGCCTTCACCTAATCTTTCCTCTATTATTACTGTATCTTTATGCAATAGAGTC